GTGAGTCTGAAATACATCATGGTCATTTCTACACTTTAAGTACACCTTACATACGTATGAAAGAAAAGGTGCAAAGTGTGCCCATTGAAATAACCAAACGCACCGAGCAGGACAGTTTAGCGTTACACACTGGCCATTGCAACAAAAGATTTGAGAGTAGAGTATAATATAGGTGACGCGCACGACGAAGGAAGAGCTCGAAAAGCGTGTAAAAGATGGAGAAATCGCGAGAGTTGGTAACCCAATACTTACGTACAGCGCGACAATAGCGCGGCAGCCCCATAATTTTCACCCAGTCGGGGATTTCTCGTAACCGCGACGACGACGTTTCTCTCGAGCTCATCGGGTTATTGTGCAACAACTCCGTACCCCTCGCGCCCTTCATCCCCCCCGAGTGGTCAATTTTTTTTTTTTTTCATCGAAGCGCACTACGTATTCAACAAAAGTCAAATTTCACAATGTTTTCGAGACGTTTGTGGATTGAATTTTACTTGTTTCTACTACGATCTCGACTACGATACTCACAGCTGTTGTGATTCTCATGGTTTTTTCGCTTAGAAAACTCGCATTATTTGCAACTGACAATGCAAATGAGTCCTCGAGAGTCCTGTACAAGTTTGCACTAATCTCACATCAAATGGCTAAGATTTTTACTGATAATACAAGAATGATTTTTACCATCAAATAGAACGCACCTTTATGAACTCGTGTATAAACGTTAGGGGATCAGTACCATACCATTTTTGTAATAAAATCAAAGTGATACTTAATGGCTGAACTATGAAGAGAGGCAAGATTCTAAGGTTGGTTTTTGCAATGTTTTTCGAAAAGTATTATTTTCCGACAACTACTGCAGCAATTTTTAAGAACTCGTGGTTTTTTTTGCAAATTCAAATACAGCGTATAAAGACATTGATGGGCAAGAGCGTATAAAAGTCCCTCGTATCGATATCTCGAAATCACCCGACATGTACAAGTATCGGTCGTCCAAGTTTTTCACGCGGTCCATCGTGGGAGGAATTTCAGGAAGCAGTACAGCTCCTCTAAAAAGCAATTCAATCTAACTTGCTGTTCCACGACAGTGATAATGATAATCATAACCAACGAGTGACGGTAGTAGGTACCTGACATAATTAAGACACTAACGCGACCATCGGCTTACGCTTCTTCTGCTTCTGCCTCTCGTCTCAAACTTTAAATTGCCATTAACACGAAATCTCCGTTGACACGAAGTAGGTGTTTTTTTTTTTTTTTTCCATTTGAAATTTTCGGTGCCCTGGTTATTCGTACTCAATTAACGTGTCGAGTTAGCAAATTGTGTTTTTCACCGCTAAATTTTATACCGCTTTTCAAAAATGCATAATAACATTTTTTTTTGTCAACCAAGCAATAACCATAGCAAATGATTTCATTTATAGACAAAACAAAAAAAAAGCTTGTACATATTGAGGGACGCACAAAAAATCCATACTGGCTGCAGCAGCGAGCGCGGATGAAGGGTCGTGCCGGAGTGTCGACCTCCGAGGAAAATTATTGCACGCTCGTGCACATTTTTGAACGGGGCTCTTCTTCTACACGCTCTCGAGGGGACTTTCTTTTTTCTTTTTCTCTTCTCATCCGTACTTGATCCCTCTCTCTCTAAGGTACACGACGTCTCTCTTTTCTCCAAACGCGGCGCATCTGTCCTCGCAACTGCGAGAACACAATACCAATGTCACCTTGGTATAGTTTTAAATAAAATTCTTGCTAGTACGCGCATGGGGTAAAACCCATACTTGGTTTTTTCCAGCTGTCTCTATTTTTCAACAGTATTGCATCGATATCTCGTGTTTATTTTTTGGTTTTACAATCAAAATGAATGGAAGCTCGTCCTTTTTTGATCTAAAAAAAAAAAAAAAAAAAAAGTCGAGATTGATAAGTTTTTTTTGTAGGATTGTCACATTTTCTGGTATTTTACGAAACGAACAAGGAACGCGCGTTAAAACCGACCTTGACAATATCTGACATCAGTACGTAAATACATGAATGGAGCACGTGTATACATAATTATAGTTTCGCTCTCGGTTGTGTGTACACAACGGAACGGGGCAAAAATAGGGGGAGAAGAAACAAAATTATTCTCGTGCCTAAGCCCGTGGTAAACTCATTTGGTTGAGGGGCGTGTTTGTAGTATGTACATCTCTTTTGGCCTCCAAACGCACGACAACAACTCGGCGCTATTTCTCCTCCTCCTCCACCGACAAAATATCAATTTTCATGACGGCCTAATAAAGAGACTCAGCTTCATTATTTTCAGAAAGAATTTCCTTGCATCCGTGTAAATGTCGTACTTGTTCTCTCTAATTTTGAAATAGTGACAAGTATACGACTTTTTCAAAAAAGTGCATAATATATTATACACTATAAAGTGTTTAATAGTGAATACACACGTTAGTGTCTTAATTATGTCAGGTACCTACTACCGTCACTCGCTGGTTATGATTATCATTATCACTCTCGTGGAACAGCAAGTTAGATTGAATTGCTTTTTAGAGGAGCTGTACTGCTTCCTGAAATTCCTCCCACGATGGACCGCGTGAAAAACTTGGACGACCGATATTTAAAGAGTGAAACAGTAGATTTAACTGTTTTAAACTTATGACTTCTTTGAACTACCGAATATATTCACTGTGAAATAGTTTATTTTACTGTGAAACAAGTAAATGTTTCACAATTAGTTAGTTAGTTATCGTTATCGTTGGCATATCACTCGAAACAATGTGTATAAGTTGTACAATTCTCTTCATTCGGATTAAGATAGTTCATGGAATTACTGATAAATATTTATAATTGAAATTTATATCGACTGGGGGCAACTATGTTTTTTACCGCTTCACATGTGAAAATCTTGTTTCCTTGGGCAGATAGTGAAATTTTCAATATTTCAAATTTAAAAAGATATCGTCGAGGATCTAAAATTCGTATACTATTAACGATGAAACGTGCAACAATAAGCCCAGATGTAGTCTCGGATCGTCCCCAATGTCAATGTTCCCATCGGAGGTGGGCACACTTTGTTGCATCTTACGCACAGCCGTCATTTCTCAGTCGTAATTTTTGGCGCTCGGCAATCCCTCGTCGCGATAAATAACGGGGCAAGTATCGAAAATTATTCCCCGTGCAACGACGCACACGCTCTCTTTATATAGGTGCAAAAGCTCGGCGTATGATCCTGGCTGCGGGCCAGAACAGCTCGTCGCTTTCTTTTCCTCTCTCCCGCGTCCCTATCTCGCTTAGTATCCTTTCTCCGTAGCTGACCCTTTGGTGAAAATTCACTAATTTACATATGTGCGCTTGGAAAAAAAAAAATTCGTCATTGCCAATAAACGTTTATTCGAGGACAAACGAAATAAGTTGAGTTATAATCTGTAAAATTTTGCGTTATAAAAAAATTATTCATTTGATTCGAATTTATTGTTAATGTCGTTTGATTTGAGTAAATATTTTTTTTTTTTTTACTCGAATAAACGTTTATTTGATTACAAACAGAAAAATATTTACTTGAGAAAAAATATATTTAGTTGGATAAATGTTAAATTATTCATTTGATTTGAATTGTCAATGTAATTTGATTTGAATAAATTTAATAATCGGTTATTTCGATAGACGAAAATTTTTTTATTTCAGTGTACGTAAGATTCGCTCAACCATCAACGTGAAATTAATTGATCTCGTTCTAAGATACACACAGTTTTACAACGTCATTCACAACAACAATAACCATCCAAAGAAGAAGAAGGCACACACACGCACAGGCCAATTACGGTAAAGTAAATGGCATCGCCGACGATTAATGGAACCTTGTTTATGTTTTTTCGCTCCTCCTTCTCCCTACACATATACATATATCTTCTTTATCGCGGAGATGTTACCGCGAAACATAATAGCACAGCCAATGACGAGGGGTTAACGATCTTGGATCTCTTCCGCCGCTACTCCGTGTGCCATACACACATATATGCATATGTATAATATGTATAGGCACGAAAAACAGTCGGAACGAGGGAAACGTGCGTCGGCTAATCCGTCTTGCAGAGAGAGAGGTGGAGAGATAGAGCGTGGGAGTCGGAGTCGAGTGATTCACGCACTCTCTTCCTCTGTGTCTATCTGATGTGAAAACACGCGTTTATATATATAAATCGCTGAAGCGCTGGTATTTCTTACGTGCATGCCTAACATGCACAGGTAAATCACTAATCCCAAAGTACGAATTTTTTAATTTTTTTTGTTTATCACTATATCCATTGAGCCTAGCATACATTTCGAGAAATCGTGCTAAACCAAGATGGTCGATTGTCCTTTATTTTTCTTTATCTATATTGGAAAACAATCGAAAAATCTTTCAAAAAAAAAAAAAATCGAAGCAATTCGCGCAATGGCCGAGTAAATTATCCGTACAGCAGAGAGAAAGCGTCTTCGCGGAGCGCAGCAGCTAGCCGAGGAGAAAAGACACACGCTGTACATGCAGCGCTGCATATTAGCCGCTCTCTAGCTCGTAGCCTAAGTTTAGAAGCGGCTCGCATACCTATGCTCTCTTGCCTAGATTTGCGTGACATTATCGGCCGCTCGCGTCCACTGCACGGAGGAGGTGCAGGTATATATATATATATACATACATATATAGGTAAGCTCCTCGCTCGCGACGTCTGGCGCCTCTATTAATAGAAAATCGCAACACAAGAGCGTTCACCAACTCGCCTTTTCTTTCTTTTCTTCTTCTACCCTTTGTAAGCGCTTTGTCCCTTTTGTCGTCGTCGTCGGGGCACCGCATTGCATTCGATCCGCCTTTATGTACCGCTCATCGGGTGCTGGTTTAATTTTACCCACGTGCGCGCTTATCGAGAATTCCCCGCTACGTGCGGCGGACCAACTCGAATCGCTTTCCCATTAAACACGGGAAGGGTATAGTTTATACATATATAATTCGGCGATCATTGGATTGTTTTGTTTTCTGCTTTCAGGAGGTCGGCAGTATCATCGGCAAGAAGGGAGAGATCGTCAAGAGGTTCCGCGAAGAGGTAATCAAAATTTTGTTGTTTTTTTTTTTTTCTTCCTTCCTTTGAGACGATTAACCGAGCCCGAGTAACAAAAAAACTGAATGGTATATATTAATAATGGCTCCGATAGTTTATATTGGCACATCTGTAGAATAGTGAGATAAGGCGTTACGTGGTGGTGATAAGCTATGTTTGTGTTTGTGCATAAAGTCGGGCGCCAAGATCAACATCTCCGACGGCTCGTGCCCGGAGCGCATAGTGACCGTGACCGGGCCGACGAACTCGATCTTCAAGGCGTTCACGCTGATTTGCAAAAAGTTCGAGGAGTGGTGCTCGCAGTTCCACGAGATTCAGACGGGTGCCGGGGGTAACGTGCCCAGGCCACCGATAACCCTGAGGCTGATCGTGCCCGCGTCCCAGTGTGGCAGCCTGATCGGCAAGGGTGGCTCCAAAATCAAGGAAATACGCGAGGTCACCGGCGCCTCGATTCAGGTTGCCTCGGAAATGCTGCCCAACTCGACCGAGCGCGCGGTCACCATTTCCGGGACCAGCGAGGCCATCACTCAGTGCATTTATCACATATGCTGTGTCATGCTAGAGGTAAATCTTTTTTATTTCTCTTCATCCGTTTTATTTAAGTTTACGATAACAATATGTTTGAGCGTTTTGTGTATATAGGAGAAACGATTGTGGGCGAGTTTGATCGGTTTGTCAATGAACCAAAGGAGAGTTGGGGAGAAAAAACGGAACAGCAAAGTAATCGAATCTCTTTTACTTTATCGGCTAAACTTGCTCGTGACTGTGTATTTGCTGATTTGCTTATGGAGGGGGGAGGGGGGCTTTGCTTGGGACGTCGAGAAACTTCAGTTGTTGGTGGATTGAAAAGTTTTTTTTTTAAATGAAATCTCTGAGCGATCGTTTTTCGTATACACACAGACGCGAGTGCTCAGTCATAGGTCAGGTGAATTTTTGTTTAAAGAAAAATTTAATTTTTCAAATGTTATTGTTATAAGCACATGGTGCAGATTGTTATTATTATTATTATTATTATNTTTTTTTTTTTTTTTTTTTTTTTTTTTTTTTTTTTTTTTTTTTTTTTTTTTCGGCACAAACCACTAGCCAGAGCGATTTATTTACCCCGAAACATCCGTCCCGGGTTTTCTCATTGTTGGTACTGGGCGTACGGAGAAAAGCATGCCCAGGAATTCTCGCGGCCGAGACGCACATCGGGGCACGACGACGAAAGCTATGTATGCCACCGCACCAGATCTATTCCTACCGGCCGGGTGTAGTTGTTTTTCAGACGCCGGCCGACGAGCCATTTAGCGCCTGCAAGTGCCCTCGATCTTTTTTTTTTTTTTTTTTTTTCTATCTCTCTGTCGATGCGGGGAGCAAGTCTAGATTTATTTTTTGCTCCTGTCTTCGATCGCTCGGTAAAACTCGGGTATCGGCGTTCGGTGTGTATACACCACTGCTGTGTCGCGCGAAAATCACACGCGTGTGCCAGAGTGTGGATACGTATCGCCGGGATTTGGGCAAATTTATCGCCCCGGCGGGGCTGTGATTGAACGCGCGTTGCGCTCGTGTACCAGGGACAAGCTGCGATTCGCACACCAAAGTTATTTAAGCTCCCCCCGATTTATCTCGCTCCCCCCCCCCTCTCGGCCATTTGCGAGCTTGACAATTGAATTCTCGCTTTTCCCCGGTACAAAGACGGTCCTTGGCTCATCTGATTATTCGCTCGGTTTACTTGTGTGCTCCGATGATTTTGAATCGTGCTTTGAAAACTTTCATCGATAATCTTGAAATTTAACTTTCAGACCGATGTGAGTCTGAAATACATCATGGTCATTTCTACACTTTAAGTACACCTTACATACGTATGAAAGAAAAGGTGCAAAGTGTGCCCATTGAAATAACCAAACGCACCGAGCAGGACAGTTTAGCGTTACACACTGGCCATTGCAACAAAAGATTTGAGAGTAGAGTATAATATAGGTGACGCGCACGACGAAGGAAGAGCTCGAAAAGCGTGTAAAAGATGGAGAAATCGCGAGAGTTGGTAACCCAATACTTACGTACAGCGCGACAATAGCGCGGCAGCCCCATAATTTTCACCCAGTCGGGGATTTCTCGTAACCGCGACGACGACGTTTCTCTCGAGCTCATCGGGTTATTGTGCAACAACTCCGTACCCCTCGCGCCCTTCATCCCCCCCGAGTGGTCAATTTTTTTTTTTTTTCATCGAAGCGCACTACGTATTCAACAAAAGTCAAATTTCACAATGTTTTCGAGACGTTTGTGGATTGAATTTTACTTGTTTCTACTACGATCTCGACTACGATACTCACAGCTGTTGTGATTCTCATGGTTTTTTCGCTTAGAAAACTCGCATTATTTGCAACTGACAATGCAAATGAGTCCTCGAGAGTCCTGTACAAGTTTGCACTAATCTCACATCAAATGGCTAAGATTTTTACTGATAATACAAGAATGATTTTTACCATCAAATAGAACGCACCTTTATGAACTCGTGTATAAACGTTAGGGGATCAGTACCATACCATTTTTGTAATAAAATCAAAGTGATACTTAATGGCTGAACTATGAAGAGAGGCAAGATTCTAAGGTTGGTTTTTGCAATGTTTTTCGAAAAGTATTATTTTCCGACAACTACTGCAGCAATTTTTAAGAACTCGTGGTTTTTTTTGCAAATTCAAATACAGCGTATAAAGACATTGATGGGCAAGAGCGTATAAAAGTCCCTCGTATCGATATCTCGAAATCACCCGACATGTACAAGTATCGGTCGTCCAAGTTTTTCACGCGGTCCATCGTGGGAGGAATTTCAGGAAGCAGTACAGCTCCTCTAAAAAGCAATTCAATCTAACTTGCTGTTCCACGACAGTGATAATGATAATCATAACCAACGAGTGACGGTAGTAGGTACCTGACATAATTAAGACACTAACGCGACCATCGGCTTACGCTTCTTCTGCTTCTGCCTCTCGTCTCAAACTTTAAATTGCCATTAACACGAAATCTCCGTTGACACGAAGTAGGTGTTTTTTTTTTTTTTTTCCATTTGAAATTTTCGGTGCCCTGGTTATTCGTACTCAATTAACGTGTCGAGTTAGCAAATTGTGTTTTTCACCGCTAAATTTTATACCGCTTTTCAAAAATGCATAATAACATTTTTTTTTGTCAACCAAGCAATAACCATAGCAAATGATTTCATTTATAGACAAAACAAAAAAAAAGCTTGTACATATTGAGGGACGCACAAAAAATCCATACTGGCTGCAGCAGCGAGCGCGGATGAAGGGTCGTGCCGGAGTGTCGACCTCCGAGGAAAATTATTGCACGCTCGTGCACATTTTTGAACGGGGCTCTTCTTCTACACGCTCTCGAGGGGACTTTCTTTTTTCTTTTTCTCTTCTCATCCGTACTTGATCCCTCTCTCTCTAAGGTACACGACGTCTCTCTTTTCTCCAAACGCGGCGCATCTGTCCTCGCAACTGCGAGAACACAATACCAATGTCACCTTGGTATAGTTTTAAATAAAATTCTTGCTAGTACGCGCATGGGGTAAAACCCATACTTGGTTTTTTCCAGCTGTCTCTATTTTTCAACAGTATTGCATCGATATCTCGTGTTTATTTTTTGGTTTTACAATCAAAATGAATGGAAGCTCGTCCTTTTTTGATCTAAAAAAAAAAAAAAAAAAAAAAAAAAAAAAAAAAAAAAAAAAAAAAAGAATTAAACGACATCGCAGAAGAAGAGGAAGTCTGCCGGATTTTTCTCCTTGTTCTCACGCGCTAGCCACGTGTTTGTGCGGTGCGATGGGAACGCGTTGTAGTTTACTCCTTCTCCACCCTTGTATTTATTCTGTGCTTCGCTGCGGCCACGAAGACGCAATAACTCATCAGTCTCGTGTCAAAATTTTTTGTGCTCTTGTATTCTTATGTGTAACCCCCGGCTTGTCTGCGAAGAAGAGAAAGAAAGAAAAAAAAAAAAAAAAAACAACCTTAAGCGTGTAAGGTGTCGCTAAAATTACGGTGGAGTGCCTATGGGCTTTTTTTATGGTTACACGCTATGCCGGTCTGTCATCGTTGATGGGCCGCCCCGGCGTTTCTTTTCTTGCGTCTTCTTACGTAAGGAAAAATCGTGCTGTGTGTAAATTTAATTAATTTCCCGGCCAACGTCCTACTACTGTCGTTGCATGCTCATGTATAGTTGTTTAGGAAAGTGCGTTTCATCGCTGAAACGATTTTTCTTACGTATCCATTTGTTGTGTAACTGAGAAGAAAAATTTTCTGCCGAATGATAAATTTTGTTTCCGCTTCTGAATACACACAATAGGATAAACAGATTACGGCTCATCCGTCGCTTAAATTTATTTTGGGGGGCATTGATACTTGGCGATTTATTCCATTTTTTTCTAAACGTATAATGCATCGTTTGTCCCAAAATGTTTTAATTTATACAAATAATTATCCAGGAAAAGCAATGAAATTTGTTTTGAATGAGAAAAAACAAATTTATGAATGGCAAGTGTCGAAGCGTTCCCTTTTTAATAAAAAATACTTCATTTGCACTGTTTTTTGGTAAAAAAATTACGTCTAGTACTGTCTTACACGGAGGTTTACAACTACATTATTTTCAAAAAATACATCACCCTTTTTTTAAAATTACGTTTAAGTGCTGCCTTGTAAGGAGTAATGAAAAAAAAAAAAAAAAAAAAAAAAAAACCCAGCCAAAACAATATTGCGGTGATTTAAATTTACACGCTCACATCCAATGTCTGGTTTAGCCGAAAGGTATCAGGTCTCGTAATTAAGAGTATCGTTAATCTTGGACGAGCGCGACAACTCGCGATTCGTCTCAATCCGTTCTCGGAAGGCCACAGGGCGATTAACAAGATCCGAGAAGCTACGTCGCGTGCAAAATATAATTCAAAGTCAATATGGAAAACGGCCCTCTCTCTCTGGTGTATCTATATTTTACTAGCACAACTAACACACCCCTCCCCCATCGATTGCCCAAGACGCAAACATTTGTTTAAATTTGATTGTATTGTTTTGTTGCAGCGTGAATCGAGCGAAATCAGCATCGGCAGCATTGTCCCTCCACTGGGCCAACAATCACGACCAGCACCAGCATCATCAGCATCCCCGAAGGCACCACCATCCACGCCACCACTCACCAAGCAAAATAACTCGGCCGGCGCGGACCTCGCCTCCCCCGTCCTCCTCCTCGCCGCCTTCCTTAGCGCCCAAGCAGCCGGCGAGAACTGCCGACTTGGCAATCCAGCTACCGAGCGCCACGGCCAGCACTATTACCACCCAGACGGAAGCCAGAGAGGAGCAGAAGGACGAAGGAGCCATGGACGTCATGGACAACAACAAGCCCGTCCTCAATGACGACCCCTCCGTCACCCTCACCATACGGCTCATCATGCAGGGCAAGGTGAGGTGTCCTCCACCCCCTCCCCCATAAACGACCACGTAACGAAGCTCTAACTAATCGCAGACAAACTACCCTTAAAACTAAGACACGTACCCCTTTGTTTTACTAAATTAGGAAAAACCACCTGGTGTAGTTTCTAAGGGTATGTACCCCAAGTGGAATTTGTCTGCTGGTTTCGGCATCATATTATTTATATACCTCTTACAGCCAAGCCTCGAAAATGACACCGAAAATCAGGGCTAGACTGGACGGAAAAGTGCCCGCGCTCGATATCGGCTTTTGTTTGTTGCAATTGACTGATGGGTTTCGGATTGATTGTTTTTTTTTTTTTTTTTTTTTTTTTTTTTTTTTTTTTTTTTTTTTTTTTTTTTTTTTTTTTTTTTTTT